GTTTTGAATCCAGTGCATCCCTTAACCTCTCCAGGATGATGCGGCTTAATATTTTACTTGGGGTGGACAGGAGAGTGATTCCGCGCCAGTTCTTGCAAGCACTGAGGTCTCCCTTCTTCGGCAGTTTGACAAGGTAACCCTTCTTCCAATCGTCAGGTACCTTCTCTTCCTTCCACACCTTCTGCAATAGTGGTGTGAGCATGTCCGCTGTTGTCTCTGCATCTGTTTTTAGTGCTTCTGGCGGTATTCCATCTGGTCCTGCTGCTTTCCCGCATTTCAGTAGCTTTATGGCGTTCAGGACTTCCATTTTCGTTGGGGGATTAATGTTCACTTGTAGTTCAGCGGCTGCAGGTGGTATTTCTGGACGAAGTGCAGGTGGTGGTCGATTCAAGAGCTTCTTGAAGTGGTCGGCCCATCGTTTCCTCTGTTTCTCTTCTTTTGTAATTAAATTTCCTTCTTCATCTTTTATTGGTTTCATCTGTGTTGGTCTCTTCCCTGATAGCAACCTGGTTATTTGATACAATGTCGTCAGGTCTCTCTTACCTGCAGCCTGTTCTGCTTCACTTGCCAGTGTTTCGTAGAAGTGTCTTTTGTCTTTGCGTGCACTCTTCTTCACTTCTTTGTCCAGTGTTTTATACATTGTGCTCAGTTCCTCTTGTCGTTGAGCATCCTTGCACTGGTTTATCTTCTGCTTCACCATCCTCCTCTCCTCTATCAGCTTCCAGGTATCCGTCGAGATCCATTCCTTGTCTTCTTTCTTCTTCCTTCCTAATACTGTTGTGCAGGTTTCTTTCCACATAGCTTTCAAAGACTTCCAGTGTTCTTCCACACAGGTTTCTTCAGGGATGTTGCTCGATGTCTCCCATTTTGTCTTGATGGCTGCCTTGAAGATCTCCTTTGTAGTTTCATCCTTCAGTTTCCGAGTGTTGTACTTGGGTTGAGGTCTATCACCAGCTTCCTTGAAGGCTTTTAACTTGATTTGGAAGGTTCCTTGCACTAGGTAGTGGTCTGAACCTACATCTGCTCCTCTTCTTGACCTTGTGTTAAGTAGACTGCGTCTCCATTTTCTTGAGATTGAGATAAAGTCGATTTGATTTTTAGTGTGTCCATCTGGTGAAATCCATGTCGCTTTGTGGATATCTTTGTGCCTGAACACACTGCCTCCAATCACCAAATCGTTGAATGCGCAGAATTCTGCAAACAATTCTCCATTCTCATTCATTTCACCTAGTGCCTCTCGACCCATGGTTAGTTCTCTTCCCGTGTTGTCCCCTCCCAGTTTGGCATTCATGTCGCCCATCAGAATTTTGATATCGCCAACTGACGTCTTGTCCAGTGTTGATTGAAGTTGTCTGTAGAAATCCTCCTTTTTCTCTTGCTCTGCATTATTTGTAGGTGCATAACATTGTATGATTGTGACCTTTCTTCCTTTTGAGTTGAATCTTGCTGTCATGATCCTGGAGGAGATTGGTTCCCACTGCATGAGAGCCTTCGATGCTCTTGAGGACATCATGATAGCCACTCCCTCAGTGTGCTCGTGGTTGGCGTCTGGGTGACCGGAGTAGATTATTGATTCTCCAGTTGACAGTTTGGAGAGTCCACTCCCATTCCATCTGCTTTCGCAAATCCCAAGCACTTCGATGTTATACCTTCTCATCTCCTTTGCAATCTGGGCTGCCTTACTGGGTTCAAACATCGTGCGGACATTCCATGTCCCCACGTTTACTTTCGCTTTCATCGAGAGAAGACACATCGGCCAATTGGCTTCCCGAAGGCTTTCACCAACTGGCGTCATTTCGCCTCTCCGATTCCAGCGGGGAATAAGTTTGTTTTCATTTTTTATATTTTGTTTGTGCTTTGAAGTTTCTTTAGCGGTTAGATTTGTTTTACGGGGTAGGGTTGCTAGCCCTATGCCCAACCTTCCCTCTTTACCCGGGCTTAGGACCGGCTAGTAACTAGTAAACTAGTTAACCAGGCGAGGTTTCACTATGGTTTACTTCTCTTCTATTATCACCATTATCACCAATTTTCACTTCATTGACAACACTTGAACCATATTTCATTCTTTAATTCATTCCTTAATCATTGACCTATTGTACACGTTTCAGCTTAATTATCACCGCTTTACAATTCTTTGACAGCACTTGTCGCTTATCTCACCACTTGTTATCGATTCGTTCCCTTTTCAATGACCCATTTTCTATCTCTTTCACTTGAAAAAATACCACCACCCATGCACCGATTGTATATTTTGCATATTGACTGAGCAACTTTTTAGTGTAATTATCTGTCACCTTACTGAGTATAAATACGACTGTACAGTTTGATAATGAAGTCGTTGAAAAGAGATATTTCTTCGCTGATACATGCCCTGTTCTTGTTAAGGAATAAATGGGTATATTTCGTCAGTCAATAATCATTCCCTTTAAAAATATTGTACTGAGTATGAATTTATTAAAATATTACATGCTGAGAATTCCATACTGTATCAAAGATATTGTCTGGAATAAGGCGATTTTTATTGTTACCCGTCACATTGACCTGTAAGCTTAATGTGATATTCTGGAATAAAATATTACAATAAATTAAGAGATTAGTTTACGCGGTTGTGACTAGCAGAAGAATGCAGGACGCGCGTTTCGCCCAATTTGGGACTCTTCAGCTGGACATGCCTGCACCCCAGACAGTTGTGTTATTGCCACTGGGACTCGACACTCGTAACCATCGTTTTAAACGCCAGTGTTATACACTAGACCACTGAGGGATGACAGCCACCTCTAGTATAAAGGGTATTAGTTACAACTTTTTGTTGATGTACTTGTAATTCTCTGTTGTATTACGGGACCAAATAGTTCGACCTCTATTGGCATATGGACTCCTGTATGGTTGCCTCGATATTGCCTGAGTATTTGTTGCATTAATCGAATGATAACCAGTATGATACTCTCCCTTTCCAATTCAGTTAGATTGGGATTGGAATGGGAAGTCCTAACTAGTGGGCAGCCAGTGTGAATACAATCAAGCGATAGTAACACATCACGAATTCACATGATAGTCGGGCAAAACTCTGCCTTGTGGTTCAAGTGAAATAAAAACTTGGTCAACAGTCGGACTTCGTATCTCATTTGGTAGAGGATTGAGCTGGAAACCCGGTGGTTGCTGGTTCGAGTCCGGCTGGGGTTCAAATTTTCATTCTGAGGTTTTCAGCACCTTATTTCGAAAGTATAGACGGCGAAGTGCACCACCTGTCAAAAGTAAATCCCTTTACAATTTTCAAACTACACAACAACCTAGCCAAAGAAAAGAAAAGCAGCAAGCAGACAGACAAACATATTCAGTCATGTTAACTAGTCTGAATCTCGACAAAATACGAACAAAGAAACCTGAAATGTCAACAAACAAAACAAGATATCAAGTTGGTATTCATCATGGACTGACATCAATTAGAGGAACACTGGAAACCTGGGAGCACTGGATAGAGCTTTCGTTCTAGTATGGGACTCCTCAGCAGTGCGCACCCATGACGCTACCCAGGACCTGAAGGTCCTAGGGCCAGCACGTTACCGTTGAGCCACTGGGTCAGAATCTGATTGTCCATATTTCCAACTCTTGTCAGTTCGTGATGTAGCACGACCATCACCCAATGTCATCGCAGAGTATTTGTCCTCACGTCCAACAGGTTTAACCTACCGGTCGCAACTTCTCATCGGAACTTCAGGAAACACCTATCGAAGCTAGTCACCAATGAGCACTAAATTAATTCAATTTGGGGGCTTGCGTTTGATCAAGGACCGAAAAGTATGCGACGTGAAATTCGCTCAGTAACCTTATGCATGTTCGTGAGGTAGGCCATGAACCACACGGATTATGTGAGGCCTAATGATACTATCTGATTGCTAACATGTGTGTAGGTGAAGCGATGTTCGAATCAATGACTCACTAGTTGAAGGTCAACTGCTGACACCAATCAGCCATAGCTCATTGTCAAGAAGCCAAGTTACAACACAATCAAGTTTATGTCAATCTTAAAATCATAAACAGTAAACAAACGGAATTCGACATAACCAATAATATTCACACTTCACAGTAACCACATCACTAAGCTAAAAAGTCCTCAAACAAGTTCATAGAATCAAAGAGTTCATCAACTTAAAACAGGATATCAATTGGGATCAAACCGAAATAATCAATGTAAGCAGTAATTTTAATTCCCCATGAGTACAGAAAACAACAAATGGAGATGGATTGGGCATACACTGAGAAGGCTGAGAGGAGACTAGAGACACACACCAGACCAGGCCCTTCGAATGGAACACAGATGGGAAGTGACGAGTTGGGCGTCCGAGGGTGACATGGAGGAGATCTTGTGAGGAAGGGCTGTCGTGGAGCCAGATTCAAAACTTTGCAGGGAACAGAGTGCACTGGAGACGTGGTGCTGAAGCCCTATGTTCCATTAGGAACCCAAGGGGACAAATAATAATACTGAAGACAACGTCTGCTAATTATCACAGTTTCCAAGTGTTTTATTACAAGTTCCCATTATCATTATTATTATTATATTGTATTCAACAGTCAAGAGTAAACAATAAGATAATTTAAAAAGTAATCAATAGTGAGTTTTTTTTCTTTAAATAATATTATTTTCTCATGCCAAAATTTACGAAACAGTTTTTATGCATAATAAAAAAAACAGTATCTGTTGAATTCATATACGAGCAAAGTTAGAAAGGAGAGGAAAGTCAAATTATTCACCAGGATCGTTAATCTTCTGTACAAATTACAGATTGAAAGAATTATTATGTAGTTAGAGAGATCAACAGAGAAAAATAACAGTGGAAAAGTTAAGTAATTGATATAATATACAAAAGTCACCCAAACTAAAAAGTTTAGAAAGGCACAGAAGATGGTCATACATAACATACCAATAGTGGTAAATAAACAAATATCCGCTTACACACATTTTTCATCATATGACAATTATAAACGTGTCTAAGAAGACTTTATCCAATGCACGAAGAACATAAACGTTTTACTGCGTCTCTGTAAAAGGTAAACAATAAGATACGGAGTATTATTGAATAAGAAAACTTAATTATCACTTTGATTATCTGAAATGGCGGTGATTTGGCAGACAAGTATTGATACCGGGTGGTGATTCAAAGTAAGATGAAAATTTGAATCCCAGCTGGACTCGAACTAGCAACCACCGGGTTTCCAGCTCAATCCTCTACCAAATGAGATACGAAGTCCGACTGTTGACCAAGTTTTTATTTCACTTGAATCACAAGGCAGAGTTTCGCCCGACTATCATGTGAATTCGTGATGTGTTACTATCGCTTGATTGTATTCACACTGGCTGCCCACTAGTTAGGACTTCCCATTCCGATCCCAATCTAACTGAATTGGAAAGGTGAAGTATCATACTGATTATCATTCGATTATCTGAGATAACAGTGATTTGGCAGACTAGTGTTTATACTGGCTGATGATTGAAGACGAAGAAAACCTTGAAAAGGAATATATATATATATATATATATATATATATATATATATATATATATATATATATATATATATATATATATTATAGCCATTAGCAGCCGGGCTCATATCCAACTTGCATAACTCAGCAGATCAACACTGTAATTTGAGAATACAGCAAGTTCATTTCACAGTTCCTTATCATTACGAATACAATATGATGAACATCGGTTCAATGATACTCTGTTCGAAATCGGACAGATAAATCAAAGTAGAAACCGGTGTCAGTCCGAATTGTCATGCTTTAAAGGAGCATGTGAACAGCAAGTATACGTAAAGAAGAAAGAAACATTAAGATGAGAGTGTATGACAAGACATAGAAGAAATACATGAGTGATAATGAACTTATTCAAATCTGTGGGGAAGTTAAACTGTGAATATACATGCGTCATTTTGACTGATTTCCAGCCAAGTCACCAGTTGTAAGGCGCTAGATTTGCATGGAACACTGTTTATTAAACTAAACACTTTTAAACTGTTTTTTTCACATCCCTCTTTTACGCCATGGCCAGTACTTCATTTTCGCCTTATTCTCAAGTTAATTCGCTGATTTGTTAATGCATACTTTTAATATGTTCATGTTTCGAATTCTGAACAAGGTCATATCTCATTTATGGATATATACACACGTGGTTTCGGGTTAATTGACCATTCTTCTCAGAAGAATAAATTCTTCCATCCAGTTCAGTCTTCTCTATTTCGTTCGGGTTAGAGTCAGTGAATCTTGCGCATGAGGTTAACTGTCAGTCAAGAGTGGGTAGCATATCCTCTCGGAATATATAACATAACCAACAATCTCTAACCGTTAATTCCTATTATCTCGTAAATACTAGCCAAGCAGTTTACAGCTCACTACGTGGCTTAGAATAACAACTAAGCAGTTCATGGACTTGTCACAACTCGGCCTGGCAACCACTAGCCTTCTTCCAACCTAATGCTATTCCGGTTAACGTTTCGCGTAAAGGTGGATGGTGACTCGACATGCCCAACTAAATTCCAAGTCGCCTCAGTTGGTGAAGATTCATAACCTATTCGACTGACCTACATTCGTTGCCCATTAGGTACCTTTCGCCAAACCTCGATATCCCTGACACTAGTACTGCCTAATAAATGAGCAATGGTAAGTTTTCATGCAATATACCGTCGTAAAATAGGTAATTACTTATCTCGCCAGTACCATAGAAGACGTAATTTGGCAGGTGCTAACAAAGCTTTTTGCATCCAAGCTGAGATTTGATCAAAGTATGCATTTGTCAACATCTTCACTCAATGCCGTTTCCGTGCTCCCAATTAAACAGGGAGTAGATCAATCCCTAAGAAGTCTAAGGTACCTACACACTCAAACAGATCAAATCAACGTAGGACCTCGTACACAAGCGCATCCGCTGAAGTTGCCACACTTCATAGTAGCATACACAGAACTGGATCGAAAAAAGTGAGATCAAAGTAGATAAGGTAGTGTGAGGAAATAAAAAATTGAAGATAACGGTTAATACAAATATTCAAGCGTAAGAAGACGTCAAGGACTGAATACATCTGCGGGACTGTGACCGATTTCCATCCATGTCAACCACTAATTACTATCATCTCGGGGACTCTAGCCAGGCGGTTGACATCTCCCCATGCGGCTCAGGCCAACAGTCAGCGACTTTATCGATGGGTGTCACATCTTAGTCTGATTGCTGTGATTCCTCTTCCAACCTTATCCAACTTCCCATAACATGGGACGTCAAGGTAGGCAGTGAATTGGCAAGTGTAGTCCAAGCCACCTCAGTCAACTAAGGTTCACAAACTCATCGACCGGATTGCCTGTCTTGCCCAGTACCCTCCGCTTAACCATAACATTGCTCACAGAGCAGTGATTCCTCCAAATGCGAGCAATGCTACGAAGACATCTGTGGTCGGAACCTTGAAACCACTTAATATCTCCTACTTCTAACGGCCATGACTCGAAGTCGTAAAACAGGATACATCGGACTGTAGTACAACATGCTCGTCCCTCGATAGACAGTAGGATATCTAGCCAGTCAGCGCCACAGATGACGCAAATTGATAGATGATAGGCGCTTCTTTTGTATCTGAGCTGAGGTTTCATCAGAAACAAGCCTGGTCTAGCTGATGCAACTCCCCAAGTACGTGAATCGGTTGACACATTTCACCACTTCACTGCTTTTCATTAACTTGGGAGTGTTTACAGCAGACCAGTCATGGAGCATTATCCTACATTTGGCAGGTGAAAACGATACACATGCTAAACATACTCAGAATTTTGCTCAATGCATTCATAACGCCCTGCATTTTGTCAACTTTTTCACCTAGCAAGATTATATCGTCTGCATACTCCAATTCAACCAGATGACCTCCAGAGAGTAGGTCAACCGCTGTGAAATCAGACTTACCTAAGGTTATATCCATCAGTATGTCCTATAACGAATGGCGACAGTGGGCATCTGCGTCAGACACCACTAGTTAGCGTCAATTCTGATGACAACTTCCTGTAAGAACTTACAGGGGTGCGTAAGTTTAAGTAGGCAGCCTTGATAAGCGTTATATGCTTGCTCGGTACTACTTTCACAGTCGGACACTGGCACAACAACTCACAGACGATAGAATCAAATGCCCCCAGTACGTATGTCTGTGTTCCAGAACCAGTCGGAGGGTGAAAATCTGGTCGAAGCATTCTCTTTCAGGTCTGAAACTCGACCGGTTTTCTCGAGTTTTCTGTTCTCTAGCTCTAGTCAGGTAACAGATAACTTTAGACGCTGAAACCTTGGACACAATATTAGTCACAAAAAGATTTCTACGCCTTACTGACTGGGATGATCATTAAAGTAGACCAGTCTGACGGCACTATCTCTAATTTCTATACACTACCTAGTACCTCAGCAATTTTATCTGGCAATTTTCTACCTCCATCCTTGAATACTTTGGGTGGCAAACTTTCGGATGCAGCTGCTTTGTATCGTTTCAGGTCCGATACAACCTTCTCAACTTCAAGGAGAATTCGTAGAAGAGTGTAGGTTTAGACTGGACGTTGGGCAACTGGAGCATTGCTATGGGTCAGTCGAACAACAGGGCTTCAAATCATTCTATCCAACGTCTCAGTTCTTTGTCCTAAAAGGTTTCATAAGCTCTTACACGGCTACGTAGGTTCAACTAGAGAGCTTTGATTAACATCACATACTTCACGGTTAGACGCTGCTACAATACATCTTTGTCAACAAAGTCAACTGCCACTTAAAGGTTTAGAAATATGGCAAATGCCTGTGTTACAAAACCTGATGAAGGGTGAAGATCTGTTTGATGCACCTTAATCCAGGTCTGAAACTTGCCTGCTTGTTTCAGGCTCCAGTTAGGCATCAGATAACTATGGACTCTGGAGTCAAAACGAAATATATCTTTAGACAGACTCGGAATATTGCAAACACTAATACACAACAACTGATACCCGTTAAAAGACGTGGCTTGTGCCTCAGTGACCTAGTGGATAACGTTTTGGCGTTTAAATCGATAGGTACTCGGTCTGAGTATCAGTACGAATACCATCACCCATTGGGATCCAGGTAAATTTATCGGGGGAATCCCAAGTAGGAAGAAATGCGTGTTCTGGATTCTAAGTAAACTCCGACATAATTGGTAAAATATTCACTTTTAATCTCCCCTATAATGATAATTTCCACATCAAAAAATGAAAGAGTGGAACATATTTAAAGCCATCAGTTACTGCTTTGGAAACTAACGTATGGCTTACTCGATAGGTAGAAACTAATAAACGTTCCGCAAGTATTCATTTTAGGGGCACAATGAATACATAATGCCCAGTTTTATCCCTCATAGCCATAAATAACAAATATAATAAGAGAATAAGTCTGTACTCATTTCTGAAACCTGCATTTGCAAGATATCAGTCGTCACAGACAGTCAAGGAAGCGAGAATGTAAGCATAAAGCTTTGAACTGGACATGCACCACGAGAAATCCAATAGTTCCCGAGACGATGAACTATTCACTATGACATGCTGATGATATACATAAACAATGTTGTCAAACTTTTAGGCTTTTATCTTCGTCCATATGCATTGCTACTGTGGTACGCTTGTGTTTCTTCAGCTTAGATGTCGACAGTGCCTAAAAAGGTTGAAAAACCGGTCATTTCTAGATAGAATTCAGAATGCACATATATCTTCGAAAATTCTATACGCTCCAAAGACTCAGTAGCTTTCTCCAGTAATTATTGTAGTCAGACAATATCAACATGGGACTTGGTACTACTACGTAGCAATCCAAGTTACTATATTTCCCTTCATTGCATTAAGATACAAGACACTAAGATGAATGGTAGAGAAACAAGGAAAAAAGGATAACCAAAAGCAGTAGAAAATCATGAGAGAGGAAAGGATGATACAATATGTAACGAAACGAGATATGACAATCTAAACGAAGATTTATGAACGCTTCTGTGCCACCGTTATCGGTTCTCAGTGAAATCACCCAGTCACCAACTGCTGAATCGTCTAACCAGCAAACACTATTCTGGAAACCTACATTTTACTACACAGCTTAGAGCAACAGTCAGAGAACGCATGGACTAATGCTGAGTTTCACCCCCAACCACAACTAACGTTTTAGCAGGTAAAACCCACCTCAGCCAAGGCTGTACAGCAGATGTGTTCATAATTTCCGGTCACTGAGTGGACAAAATCTCACACATCGCAGTGGAGTCTTTCTAACACAGCCCAAAAGAAAGGTAAATCAATATTCCACAACATTTTACAGACATTATTACGCAACTACAGACACATAAACCTCGCCTAATCCACTACTTTACTAACCGGTCCTAAGCCTGGATAAAGAGGGAAGTTTCAACATAGGGCTAGCAACCCTACTCCGTAAAACCAATCCAAATCTCTGAAGAAACTTCAAAGCACAAAAAAATATTTTTTCAAAGATTATTCCTCGCTAGAATCAGAAAGACCAAATGACGCCGTTTGGTGAAAGCCTTCGGCAAGCCAATTGGCCGATGTCTTCTCTCTCTCGATGAAAGCGAAAGTAAACGTGGGGACAAGGAATGTCCGAAAAATTTTTGAACCTAGCAAGGCTGTTCAGATTCCCAAAGAGATGAAAAGGTATAACATAAAAGTGCTTGCAATCTGTGAAAGTGGACGGAATGGAAGTGGACTCTCCAAACTCTCAACTGGAGTCAATAATCTACTCCGATATTCCCACCCAGATGACAACCACAAGCACAGCACACTGAGTTTTGGAGTGACTATTATGATGTCCCCAACAGCATCGAAGGCTCTCATGCAGTGGGAACCAATCTCCTGCAGGATTATGACAGCAAGATTCAAATCAAAAGGAAGGAAAGTTACAATCATACAATGCTACGCTACGCAGCTACAAATAATGCAGATCAAGAGGAGAAATTCTACAGACAACTCCAATCGGTAATAGACAAGACCCCACTCCAGTTGGAGACATCAAAATTCTAATGGGAGCGGACAACGCAGGAAGAGAACTGATCATGGTTAGAGAAGTACTCGGTGAAATGATGAATGAGAACGGAGAACTGTTTGCAGATTTCTGCGCATTCAACGACTTGCTGATTGGAGGCAGTGTGTACAAAAACAAGGATATTCACAAAGTGACATTGAATTGATTTTATCAAATAGACACACTAAAAATCCGATCGACTTATCTCAATCTCAAGGGTGTGGACATGCAACCTCCTGGACAGAGGATCGAATCAAGGGGAGCAGATAAAGGTCCACACTACTCACTATCTAGTGCAAGGAACCTTCAAAATCAAGTTCAAAGCCCTCACAGAAGCTGGTCATAGACGACCACAATCAAGTTCAACACCCAGAACACAAACTGAAGGATGAAACTTCAAAGGACATCTTCACGTCAGCTATCGGAAAAAAATAGGACATCAGGCAACATCCTTTGAAAAAGACTTTGAAGGAAACCTGCATAACCGTGTTAGGAAGGAAGAGGAAACAAGACAAGGAATAGATCTCGACGGACACATGGGAGCTGATATAGGAGGGAGAGGAAAATGGTGAAGCAGAAGATGAACCAGTGTAGCGCAAGGATGAACAACGAAAAGAAGAACTGAAGACAGTCTATGAAACACTACACTGGACAAAGAAGTGAAGAAGAGTGCAAGCAAAGACAAAAGACACTTCTACAACACATTGGCAAATGAAGCAGAACAGGCTGCAGGTAGAAGAGACAGAGACCTAACAACATTATATCAAATAACCAGGTTATTATCTGGTAGGAAAGAGACCAAAGCAGACGAAACCAATGAAAGATAATGAAGGAAACTTAATTACCAAAGAGGAGAAACAAGGAAAATGATGGGCAGACTACTTCAAAAAGCTCTTGAATCGACCACCACCTGAGACTCGTCCAGAAATACCACCAGCAGCCCGGCCACAGAATTACCAGTGAACACAAGCCCTCTGATAAAAGCCGAAATTCCGAACGCCATAAACTTGCTGACATCCGGGAAAGCAGCAGGACAAGATGGAAGCCTGCTAGAATCACTGAAAACAGACGCAGAGACATCAACGGCGGACACGCTCACAACACTGTTGCAGGCTTGCAAGGAAGGAAGGAAAGGTACCTGCCGATTGATTGGAAGAAGGGCTACCTCGTCAAATTTCCAAAGGGTGACTTGAGTCTTTGCAGAAACTGGCACGGAGTCATGCCCCTGTCCACCCCAAGGAAAATATTATGCCGCATCATCATGTGCTGGATTCAAAATTACCACCGGAACAGAATGGCCTCAGGGACAACAAATCATGTGCGGATCCAACTGCAACGCTACGCTACGCATCATCATAGAACAGAGCGTAGAAAAACAGTCAACTCTACCTCAACTTCATTGTTTTTGAAAAGACCTTCGACAGCGTCGACTGACAAGTAATTTGGCAGCCAGCTGCTTCAACACTACGGAGCACCACAAACCTCTATCAACCTCAACAACTATATGAAGACGCCGCATGCCAAGTGGTCCGCAACGGAAAGCTCAATGACGCCTTTGAAGTGAAGACAGAAGTAAGACAAAGCTACCTACTATCATCAATCATTTTCTGATTGTGGTGGACTGGATCATGCAGCAAACCGTGAGGAGCGAGAAGATAGGCATACGCTGTTTGACCGATGAAAAGACCCTAGAAGATTGGATTTCGCAGATGATTTATGTCTAATGTCTTGTTGCACAACCTCGAAGATCTACAGGCGAAAACTAACAAGTTGACAGAAGAGGCCGTGCAGCGAAAAAGGGACTTCAAGTAAACGTAGAGAAGACAGAGGTGAAGATACCCAACCAACACCACCACCAACAACAACAAGCTTTAATCACCATCAACGGGAGGAACCTAAAGTAAGTTGTTTCTTCCACCTACTTAACTAGGTAGCATCGTTTCAACTACAGGCGATGGCACAGGCACAGATGAGGATGTCAAAACCAGGATCGGAAAAACAAGACAGGTTTTCAATAATCGGAAATCAGCGTGGAGACCTGCTGCACTGCACTCAACATAAGGAAGGAGATCCGGATTTCCGACACTAAGTCAGTCAAGTTAGTGTTTTTATATGGTTCAGAGACTTGGCGCGTTACGAAAAGCATTCCCAACAAACTACAGACATACGCCACCTACGCTCACTCGATACTGAAGATCAGACCAGAAGGCCAGAAAAAATAAGCAAGAAGGAACTCTGGCCTGGCAGTGAACCAACCAAGAACCCATCGCCCAGGAAATATGCAGGAGAAAGTGGAGATGGATTGGAATGGGCATACACTGAGAAGACCGTTTTAGGGACATCACGCGTCAGGCCAGGCCACGCCGTCGAGTGGAACTCGAATGTGCAGCAATGAGGTGGGCGTGCGAGGGTGACATAGAGGAGATGGTGTGAGAGAAAAAATGAAAGCTTGTAGGCGGTGGTGGAGCCAGGTTGAAAAAAAGACTGACTGCATTCACTTATCTTCATCCTTCACCTCACTACCTTTTTACTTGGTGTGCTGATATGAGGTGTGGCAACTCGGACCGTTACGCAGTAATGCCTGGTCCTATGTTGATAATGATGATGATGATGACTGCAGAGAACAGAGTGAAATGGCGACGTGCTACTGAAATCCTATGTTCCACTAGGAACCTGAGGGACAAATAATAATCACACAAAACATACTACAATGCTTATTTTAACATAGGATATTGATTTCAAATCCATAGCATTTAGAATAGTTAGCTAGAAGAACTAAGGTTGAAAAACTATACTAGATCTTGGCTTTGTTATTTATCAATGAACGAATGAGTAAGAATATCCCTAACATGGAATTCGAAATGAAAAACATTTTTCAACCAGTGAGCAAGCATGTCTTTCTTAAGAACAGACAAGTTGGTCGAAGTTTCAATAAAATAATAAGCACCTTAGAAAACCACAAAAATGACCAAAATATTAATTATTACATTAGGATTACCTAGCAAACGGAATATAGGACAAGGAATACCACGTCAGCGCTAAGGACTGCAGGATACAGAATATTAGACACAGTAGACGTAAACCCTAAAAAGTAGTTAACGTTAATAAACCAAAAACTTACCAAAAGTGCAAATATGATTGTAAGAACTAGGGAAACCTGAAAGTTGAATGTGGACAGTAAAATGGGACGATTACCAGCATGAATACTGCCGCAAATATCCTAGTCTCTTGAAACATCCGCTTCAGTTGATTCATAGGACCCATCAGAAAAATTGTACTAACACGACGCTTAGCATGCAAGTAGCAGTTACCTTCCAAGAGAGAATATATTACCAAGGGTATAAAACAGTGCAAAAAGAGTAATGCCTGCCCCAGGAAACCACAAAAATAGTGAGCCCTGTTAATTTTGGTAACCTATATTTCATACGTTACCAACAACGACATCACGATGCCTACTACGAAACATATAGCAAACGCCTTTATACGTGTGCTCCAACTAAGTGAACAGCCACCCTCAACCTAAAATTTGTAAATAACAATAATAATTTCCATACATCTGTTAATATTCCTTGTTCATCATCCGGACTGTTCGTGAAAAGTCGCTTCAACTTATTCATCTAAACAGCTGTGAAGATCTCCGATCAAACAATCGCCAATCGTCCTTCAACATTCCAATTCAGCCAACCATATTGATTAACAAAGAAAGAGTACTTGCATATGTGTCACCTCACTACATCCTGGAAAATAATGTTTGCATATAATATCCCTTTACCTTAAAAAATAAATCCATGCAAGTCAATGACAGTTAACACTACGCATACAGCGCACTTTTTGAAAAGAGAATGACTTTTCCACGTTTAGTTTGGTTCTTGGTACTTTTCGTATTTATATCACAAGGGCTATTGTGCTTTTCCTCCTGTCAAAACAATCCTTGATTAGAGTTGGACAGAAACTTTTCTGGGTGGATTTCGTAACCCTAGCCCTCTGGTTAGGAGAAATTTTTTCCAGTCCAAGCAGCTTATTTCCGACGCATTTCGCTATTGTTACCTAAAATTTTTAGTTTTCTCGCTCACTCGTTACCTGCCTTATCAAGTTGTCTCAAGTTTCTGCGATATCGTAAACCAAAAGTGTAGTAAGAATGGTTGTGATAGGAGAGGGTCCCACTTTGCAGTTGCCTCTGACCGTGTCGACTTTTAAGAAGTCGTACGACAGACCGAAAGTCAGGCGCGTAGATTTCCTATCCGGTTGTTGACGGAGACTTAGGAAAGCCATATAAAGTAGGGTGAAGAGAGTATCTTCAGCCTCTCACATCTTCAGAGCTGGAAGATCTGGACTGAAAACTACCAGCTGTAGGACTAAGTCAGCTTTCGACGAAAGACCGGGATGGGGCACCACTGCCAGCTTAATAACTATGTGACCCGCAGGTCCTAACCAGGTGGACAACCCGGTTAGTGATGATAGGGGATGAAAATTTCTCCCGAGGCTGTCAGAGCTACTGAACTAGGCCCTAGTCGGCCATGCATACCAGATCATGAGCAGCAACCAGATGCAAAAACAGTACACGCCATCAGTTCTGGACTTGCTGGTCCCGCATACAGATGACGTATGCCTTATCCGCCACTTTACCCCCGGTAAAAGTGTCATGCTGTGATCGCGGCAGCCATCCTGTACCGTGCCAATGCACCACCTAAACCTAATATATGGAAGGCAAATACGGATGCAAACAATTTTTCAGCCTCTTCGGAGAAAGAGACAGCAAATCCATAAGCCTCGATCGAAGTCTCTTGGCGAGCCTTCAAGCAGCTGAATGTAAGGGTGACCCAACCGTTCATTATATGAACTGTTTTGAAGGGACAGAAAGATCGTCCTAAGCGGACAAACCGTGGAATCCAATTCCAGCTACGGTGCGGGAGGTAGCGTTCGACTGCTGTCATCCGCCTCGACACCCTGGAGGTGGTGAGGCGTTAAAAAGAAGCCAGGTCCACTGCTGCCATCCACCGGTCTCGAATATGCCCTTGAATACGTCTGGCCCAGGCTGCACTGCAACATTCGACGAAGTTGTTTTCTCGCGTGAACCACAAGAGTAGAATGTATTGGGGTGCACCCACCCCGGTCAAAGAGACAGGAGTAGACTGTATGCTTGAAGACGACAGGGAAAAAGCAGAAGCTGTGGGTGGGTATTTTGCTAGGGCATTTAAGTAGGAGCGCCCCGTGGATACTAACTCAGCAGTAGAAGCACTGGCATCCAGCGGGATAAACCCTGTGGGTATCGATCTCGCTGTTGTATTTCAGACATTGAATACTCTCGATGTAAGAAGGTCAATGGTACTGGACGTGCTGAGCCCACAGTCAGAGAAGGTTGGGTCAAGTCTAGGGATGGTGGGATGCTTGTCGATATCGTTTTCATGGTGTTCAGCCAGGCCTTAGACAACGTGCCCTATTCCAGGCTGCCCGGGAAGCCAGGAAGTTTCGGGATCCCTGGCAACCTGCTTGTGTGGATCAGGAGTTGCTTGTCTGCAGGATCACTTCTCAAGTGTTTTCTTGGAGGTCAGTAGGGAGTGGAGTGCTTCAAACCACCGTCCTGAGTCTTTGGCCACTCCTCCTACGTGTCAATGAGCTACCAGAAACCACAGAATCCCCTGTGGCGCTATGCGCTGGTAGAGTAAAAATCCGGTGGAAAACTAGGGGTGACGGGGAGATAAACGGACTACGGACGGGCACAAACAGCTTGGCCAGTTGATCAGACAAACAGCTGGTTCCCATCAACAGAGATAAATAAGTGAGCAGGCATATGCGGCACACATTAAGCTACCCATGCGATTTTGGTGGGACCCCTCAGCCCTCAGTATCAACCGACAAGACCTGGGAGTAACGGTGGATTATGATTTGAAGATCACGGTATACAGGTTGCTTCTGCAATTCAGGAAGCGGGTGACCCCAACCAATATCCGCAATCTTTTCACCTCTATTGTACCAAAGACACGTTACTTTTGTCAGAAAAATTACTGTCTGAGACCGCTTATGTCGACTTTTGTATGGTATTTTTCTCCTTGTATTTCTTGCACGCCTTGTGTAGTGTATACATTTGGTACATTTCTTTCGCCTTTATGCCCACTACATGCACTTCTCGCTTGCAAATGTGGAATCCATCATGGCTACCGAAGACCCCTTATGAGCGGACAGTGTGGAACATTGCGTCTTTCAAAAACACGCAGTTTGACAAATGGGATAAGTGAATCCACCAAATATATTCCGCGATACTACCGTTGTGCAACAAACAATGTGCAATTCCTGTCTTTTCCTACCTATGTAGCTATCCTTATAGGTTGTTGTCTGAAGTGATTTATGAAGCCGCTGACTAAGTAGAATTTAGGAAACATCCACTTTATGTTGCCTTCATGATGATCTTCATGTCTGACGGCGATAAGGACAGTATTTCATATGGCGAAATAGCTCGTTGTGATAAAACAACCGGAAGTATCCCGTAAACGTCACTTTTTCTAGAGCTTTGGTTTCAAACTATGACAAAATCTTTTGGGATGCTTTCGAGATTGGAGGAGGTTTCCTGATTTATACATGTAGTCTTGGCACGGCTAATAAGATTGAAGATGGTGGATTAAGTGCTCTGCCTGATTCAATACGCATTATTACAAACGGTACTAACCATAAAATCCTCGTAGGCCGTGTCTATGGAACGCCATGTTCACCAGGGGAAACCGAAGAGCTTACATCTCAGCCGTTGTCCCATGCTTGCATCCATCAATGTTGACTTCAAACTGATTGCAGGAGACTTAAGCCTCCCTGAAGTTAACTGGGAAGCCAGTTGTGACCCACAACGCTACGATGAAGTACTAGCCGTCTTGGGTTCCCTTGATGGAAACAATATGTCCATTCACCCACACGTAGGAACAGCACGCTGGATCTAGCGTTTTGCAAAGACCTCGTCCCCCGTCACCATGTACGTTGGTGATGAATTCGATAACGGTGACCACAGAATGGTTTCCTTCTGCCTACCAATCTTCTCTCTTCCTGAGGAGAACAAGGAGCCCATGAGAAATGTCTTGTATCTCAGCTACAAAGGTATAAAATGGGATGGATTCATCGAGTTCCTCAGGTGCAGCCTATGGGATAAGTACTTCATGACAGCCTCATTAACGGGGTCACTATAGAAACTTGTGGACTATTCAGTGAACTTAGCAAACTTCAGTCCTACACCACCGCTTTCACACTGCTTATTAAGGGTTCGCGTCAAAGTAGATTTTACCGTAAAAAATATCACAGAGACCATCATGAACTTGCGACTATCAACAGGCATGGAAATAGACAACCTTAACTCAACTGTCATCAGAAACGGCGGTGACGATGTGTCTCTTTTCTTGCCTGAGACGGAATGGAAAGGAGTATATGCCCCACCGAATGGAAAACCAGCTACATAACGCCTCGCTACATGTTCAGAGACGAATCGAACGTCAGTAATTACAGATCCGTCAACATGACACTGGTCTCCTCTAGAATCATGGAAAAAGTGATTGAGAGCAGCGTCTGTGACTGCCTGCTAACAGAAGGCCTCATCACAAAGTCTCAGCATGGTTTCGTAAAGAATGGGTCCTGTGTTACTTGCCACTTCGATTTACTCAACTTCGTCACTAGTAACCATGAGGTGCGTAAAATGGTCATTGTTCTATACTTTGATATATCAAAGCTACGATCAGCTGCTATCCGTGACCCCCTGCTCGGTTGGATTAGATCATTTCTTAGCGATCGTGCTCAAATCGTGAGAGCACACTCTGCGCAGCCTGAACCTAGACATATAATCAGCGGAGTTATACAGGGTAGTGTCCTTGAGCTTTTGTTGTTAATAATTTATATCAACAGTTTATGTGACTGCTTCAGTAAAGGCAAGACATTCCTATACGCCAATGGCTTGAAGGTTGTGTACACTCGTCAATCTCGTGAAATGCCTAATACGCTGGATACTGCCCGACAGGAACCAGGCAAACTTGCATCATGGTATGCTGAGTCTCACCCTGAATTCACTAATGACGGATGTGGTTAGCTTGCCATAGGCAACAGCAACCATGGTCTGACCCACGAGGTATGCGGAAAACAGCTATCTAGGTGCTTTTCTGTGCTAGATCTTGTAGTCAAATATTCCAGAGACTTGACATCCTCGAAACAAACAACACATATCAGATCCAGGTCACGCAAGCTCAGGGGATGAGGACGGACTTGGATCTCTACATGTTTGAAGCGGAATCATCATGGTCCTTGAGTCCTTCTCAAGGTGATGGGTTTGCGATTGCGTATAAGGGCTTGAGTACTGGTTCCCCTCCTCACCATAACCAGCTTAATGTACACTATTTTCTTCCCAAAGCTACTACGATAAACGTCAGATACGGGAAAATTTTAAGAACCTTTTCATGAAAAAAATGTGTAGTCAATCA